TGTTTGGTCAATAACAAATACTCGATAAAAATAATTTAATATTATTGCTATTCACAAAACCTATTGAGTGGACTTTTGCTTACTCTAAATAGATTACTTGTCCTCAGTAATCTAAAGAAAGCATAATAATTCATTGAGAAGAGAGCAGGTCAGTCCTTTGGCTTGCAATCTTTGCTATACTAATCACTGTTGGATGTTAACAAATCCAGTATCTTTTCAAAAGGCTAGTTTAGTTTTTCTGTTCATCCAGTTTTCCTAGATCATAAATGCCTTCTTTGCATGAAGTGAAATAATAAAGTATTCCTTTAATACTACAGACATTGATGAATGTGCCTTTGAAAGGACATGTGACCATATATGCATCAATCATCCAGGCACTTTTGAGTGTACTTGCAAGAAAGGATACACACTCTATGGCTTCACACATTGTGGGGGTCAGTATATATAAAGTTTTTACTTGTGTGCTTGTTGGAGTGTTACTTCCTTGATCTTGACATTGAGAGGAAATCTTGGTATTAAAGCCAGTGCTTCAGTTATTCCAGATGTTTTTTTCCTCCTTTTGGGTCAGCTTGAAATGGAATTTGACTTTGTACATGCTACACTTCTGCTTAAGCAATTTTCCTTTCTGCCTTTTATTGGAAAACAGCGGTGACTATTAAACCATTGCATTCCACACTTAGGCACAAAAATTGGATTTGGCAGAATGGCTGCCTCCAAAATGCTTACTTCTTCTACTTGATATGGTACATAGTACTTAACCTTCAAAACTAGATCCTAGTCCAAATGTTTGCTATTCAGTAGGTTTTTCCTAACCCAACTCAAAAGGGGAGAAAATAGATGTATCTCTTGAAATTATAAAAAAGAAAATGAAAACACTGGTCTACCCCCATATGTTGTAGTCACAAGTCTGTTGTCATTCAAAAAGATATAGCCTCGGATCTGTGTTTGCTGTTCTGAGGGCTTCTGTATACTACTAAATTGAGTGTGGAACAGTCAGCTAGGGAGTGTATGAAAAAGGCAATAGGAGTTATGCATATTACATGGATTTCAAGATAAAGATCCAATCTCAATATGTGTTCACTTGGGGTGGGGGTGAGGGACATGGAACCCAAATCTTCAGGGTAAATATTTGCATGCAGCAAAACACATTCCCACCACAGTCAGTTCTACTTTCTTGTGCTCTTGGCTTAAAATCAATGACATTTATTTTGAGTGATGTTGGGTTAGATCTTGGCATATAGGTTTAGCATGCCCAGGCTCCACAACTAAGCTCACTTATTCTGCCCAGAGTTCTTTTGACTCTGTGAGTCTTTTAAGGAAGTTTTTTTTATAAAGATTGTAGCAACTGTTATCAAACTTCCAAAAGCTTTCCTACTTAATATTGTTGGCATGTGTGTCTGTTTATATGTGCCTTCAAGTCGTCTGTTGACTTATGGTGATCCCATGAACCATAGGGTTTTCTTGGGCAAGGTATCTGAAAGGTGGTTTACCAGTTACTTCCTTTGAAATATAGCCTACAGCACTTGGTTTTTGTTGACAGTCCCCATTCCAAGTACTAATCAGGGCTGACACTGTTTAGCTTCCAAGAACAGACTGGATCTGGTATTTTTAGAGCATTTAGGCCCCAGCTTGTGTAGCTCTGTGCATATTACATATCCAGCAGTAATTATTCTTGTGAAGCTTGTGAATTCTTGTGCTGGGCAGAGTACAAGAATGCCAATCCTGTTCTGAAAATGTTTTCTCCACTATTTTTTTTTTTTTAGATATCAATGAGTGTAGTATCAACAATGGAGGGTGCCAGCATACATGCATAAACACACCAGGGAATTATCAGTGCCATTGTAATTCTGGCCACAAATTACACTGGAACAAAAAGGACTGCGTTGGTAAGATTCAGACTTCCATTTATTTTTTGAGACTTTGGTTTGCTTAAGTGCTATTCATTTGTGGGAATTCTGACAACTTAATTCCATGGAACAGATCAGTACATATTAGCATTCCCTCTCACTATGACTGAAGACAGACAATATTTTTACAGAGAACTGAATTTGACAGAAGATGCACTTCCCATACTGTGCATATATTTTTATTTCATAATGCTTGGCAAAATGTACAAATGACTCTTTTTACTTTCCCATATTTTGTTATGATAACAACTGGTAATTGAAATAGATTTAATAGCCTTTGTTAGCACCTGGTATACACTGGAGATGACACAATAAAAGTGTGAGTTTGTTTTTGTTTACTCCACTTTTGTGCCACAAACAAAATATTTTGCCCCTTTACAGTATTGTTTATTTTGTGTACATTAAGCAGTAACAATGTCAATTAAATTCTAGGTTATAACACAAAAATTTTCATCAAAAACTTTTTCTCCAAGGCACTGATTCTTACTATAATATCTTTAGCACCTATTTACTAGAGCAAGAGCTGTTGCCACACTGTAAAATTAATGCAGTTTGGCATATCTTTAGCTATCATGGCTCCATCCTATGGAATCATATGATTTGTAGTTTCTTGTGGCACCAGAGCTTTCTGAACAAAAAAGCTAAATAGTTTTTTGTGGGTTTTTCGGGCTGTGTGGCCATGCTCTAGAAGAGTTTCTTTCTGACGTTTCGCCAGCATCTGTGGCTGGCATCTTCTCTGAACCCACAAAAAACTATGGATGCCGGCCATGAAAGCCTACGACTTCACATTAAAAAAGCTAAATATCTCACACTACTATAGAGCCTAGAGTTCCATAGCATTGAGCGGTATCAAACTGCATGAATTCTGCATTGCAGATGCTCCCAAAGTGAAATAAGTAAATCTAGCATGAACCTCAACAATCCATCTTTCACCTGTATTCAGTTCTCCAAAAAGTTATTCTGTGTCTCCAGCCTGCAGTACTATGTTTCTTCTAATTGGCCAGTATGGTTAATGTTGAAGCTGATTAATGGAAAAACAAAAACAGGAGATACTTTCAGATCTTTGATGCTTTCTTTCTTGTGCTTTTAATCTGGGCTGTTTTTCCTATTGTGGTTGTCTGTATGAAAAGATACATTTCATGGTTTACAGAAAAGAGAAATAAAATATGTTATTTTTGTCTTCCTTCTCCATATTATTAATAAAGTGAGTGCAGACTGACAACTAGTTATGTAACAATGCGTGACTTCATGTTTGTATTGTAGCACCATGCCGGAAATTATTTTTCTTCTCCTGTGAGTCTCTGTGTTTTGCCCAATAGAAAGATCCTTCCCTGATGTCATTTTACCCAAAGTATCTCTACATTGCATTAAGACCAGTGGAAGTGATAGGTGCTTTTTAATCTGCTCCTCCAAGGTCCATTTAATCTCTGGTAAGTTATACAGAACAAAATGGATTTGTTATTATTCAACCTTTCCAAGAGCTGCAGGATACAAAAACTGCAACTCTCGGAAAGTCTTAGAAATAACAGGCATTAAATTAAATTCAAATGTGTATATATACACATGCAGTAGTATTTATATCTTTTTCACATTTGTGCCTGGTTTTCCTTGCAAGCATTCTTTGATAGGAGGCAATGAAATGCAGCATAGTACTGCTATGTATAACCTGATTTATAAAATATAGAAAGTATAATATTTTCATCAAATGTTTATATGGTGAAGTGGGAGGACAACTGACTAGAATGCAGATGCTAAGTCAACTATAGTTGCATTTTATAGATTAAAGAAACCCACTGAAATGGCAATGGTGATAATAAAAATCTGTTTCTCTAACATAAACCATGTGCCAGTCAATATTCTGGATTATGAACTGTCTGGTAATTCCACAGTAGCCTCCAACTGTTTAACAGAATACTATTGGTTTTAGCTTCACTTGGAATTTGAGTGAAATACTAGCTGAAATAGAGTCAATAGTGTCTGCCTTGTACCTCTAGTATGCATCCCACATTGCTGTTCATCCTGAACAGCGTAGGACAACTGAGATCATATCTGATTAGTTCAGAAACCCTTCAGAGCATTCCATCTCCTTCAATTTCCTGTGCTCTGCCATGCTGTTCTCCAGTGTATTAGGGTAACAAAAGCAGACTAGATAGGAGTACCCTCACATTTCCCTCAAGGGAAATTCAGCCCCATCCAGTGCAGGTTATATACTTTCCCTGGGTTGAACCAGCTCTTGACTGAGTACTACTTAATAAATTAGATTTTAGTTCTTCCATATCTTGTCCCTTATTGTCGTCAGATACCGATCTAGGGTTTCCATGGCTTCCATGGGATATTATGAGAAGTATGCTGGGTAGATGTCAGAAGAATACTGTGGTTGGTGGTACTGAACAATGCTAAGAAAGTTAGGGAAAACGGTGAGCTTACATTCTCTCCTTAAGTTATATATCAAGCTACTAAGGCAATTTCTGTCCACAGACTAGGTTGAAAAGCAGTATGAAAGGGGCTCAGATAATCAGTTTCATCCAGGAAAACCTGGAGTTGGATCATCATAACACACTCAAGCAACTTGGCATGGACTAATCTTAGCCATCCAGCTAGATAATTTTGAATTAGCATTCTTATTAAACCAGGAATGTCAATTATGCAAGTAAATATTGCACATATTTCAACATTTCCCAAAATTTCCATTTCCCCACAGAAAAAACAACTCTCCTAGATTCAAAATTTCTAGAAAATTTACAACTCTAGCTGTGAAGTAATGGCCTCTTGCTAGTGAAAGCATCTTTTGTTTGGTGACACTTAGAATATACAATGAAAATAGAAAAATAAGAATTCACCACCATATAATCAGCGGTGCCACTGGGGGGAGGGATGTGGTGGTGTGGCCCGCGCTGGGTGACACCCCAGAAGAGGGGTGACACTTGGTCAGGCCCTCCCCCCCTGTGCTCACCCTGTGCACTCCCCCCTCACTGTCTCATCCTTTTCCTCATAAGGAAAAGCCCCTGGAAGCCCCACTCCTGGAAGCTCTGCCCTCACATCAGGTGACACCAGGTGCAGGGATGCCACTGTATATAATGGACCCTATCTGGAGACCCAGTATGGTGGAGTGGTTTGAGTATTGGACTATTACTCTAGAGGACAGGGTTTGAATCCCTGCTTGGCCATGAAACCAACTGGGAAGGTAAAGCAAACCCCCTCTGAACAAATCTTGCCAAGACAAGCCTGTGATAGAGGTTGCCTTAGGGTTGCCATAAATTGGAAATGACTTGAAGGCACACAGTAAGAACCCATGAGATGTCAAACTTGCTATGAATTTTCTTCCATTGTCAATCCAGTCATCCTCCCTTATGTTCATCACATCTGTGTCCATGGCTAACTATTCAGCTGTGCAAACTGTACTTGAATGAGAGAGGACAGAAGGTATTGGCTCACAACAGCCACTGCCATCTCTCTGTTCTATCTATTGACCAAAGCTTTGAAAAAACTGTCACCAATGTCAGCAGGAACCCCCTCTCCCCAAAAAACTACCAGAAGTACATGGCAATGAAGTGGACTCTAGACATAAATGAGATCATGATTCTCAGTACATATTATTTTGGGAAGAATAAATATGATTATTACTTCCTCCTTAATAGCCACATAGATTAAGAGCTCCATAGTTACTTTTGGATTATATGCAATACCAGAATAGTCTTTTATTGCCACCATCTAATGAAAGACTATAACTGTTTTTAAAAAAGAGGGTTCCAGGGTTAACCATATTCAAATGAAGCCAACCACCACCAATCAACTAGTGTAACCAAACAAGGTTACAGTGTTTGTAGCCTTGAGGCTCTAAACACTTCAGACATATGAGTGTTTCCAAGAGTATACTTCACCAGCGCTCTAGCGTGTGTTTCTGTTTTATTGTATAGCTTTATGATCTGTCTCTTAGGCCTGGAAGGTTCCTACACTTTAAAATGTGGCAGTCCTTCTTCACCTAGAAAGAAAAAGCAAAATTCAAATGAGTCTGCTATTTTAGGTAATTATCTGATGAATATGTTTCCATGTTGGTTTAAAAGCTGGGGGAGGGGTGTTGTCTGGCTGTCAGACTGTTAAAGAAATCTTGGTCATTGAAATGCATTGTCTGCCAAAAGTCACAGTTTGGGACAAAATGTATGTCTTTGGGCTGGTCTACACAATTCCTCATTCCAGTCAAATAGACTGTGATCTGGCAACATGCGATTCACGGGCGTTCGGGCCCCATCCTTAAAACTCTGCAGAAAAAGGTTTTCTGGTTTTTACCCGAGTATCTGCAGAAATCTGCAGAAATACATGTTATTGCATGTGTAGATTTGGATGGCTGCACATTTTCTGCAGAGGGAGGGTGAATAGATGCAAATTTGTACAGGAAAGTGGAGACAATTAACCATTGACATGGATATCTGAATATCCATAGCACTGCTCATAATCCACTTGTAGATTAGCCATTTGTTTTTATTTGTTGCTTCTTCTTTGTGGACTCACACAAATGGGTTATCCTGCACCTGTGCAGTATGTAACCTGTCATTTAATGTGTTGTAACAGGCACAGTCTTAGAGGAGGCATTCTCCCTTGAGTGAGAAAAAGGAGGGACATCTCTTCTAAGAAGGCAAGACAGTGCTGTGGCTTGCAGAGGTTTTGTAAGCAGTTTTTAGAAACAAAAAACCAAACAATTTATTTTTAAAAAACCCCTCTACTTCAGGTTATTGGAGAAACTTCTGTAGACTCTTTGACTGAACAGCACATTTATATATATATATTGTTAAAACAACATTTCAAAGGACTTTGTTAAGAAGTTTTTGGACAGTCAGACTAGAGCAGTCATGTGTAGATTTTTAGAAAGAAGCAACACATGAGATTCAATGGCTGATAACTCCTCTTAAGTGTTCTCAGGACAGCAGGTTTGGGGGAGATCTCTTATAGTGATATGCTGTTTAGGTTCACTATACTGTTCTAGTCTCTGTGTGAGGCAGCTCCTTCTAGAATGGAATGAGTTATGGCATACATTATGCATTCAGCAATTTAAGAGAAGCACTGTTATACATTTGGCCTGAGAAGCACTGTTATACATTTGGCCCTCCATATCCATGGATTTCTTTATGCATGGATTCAACCATATTGGCTTGAAAATATATATATTTTTAAAAACGGAATTCCAAAAGCAAACCTTGATTTTGCCATTTTATATAAGGAACACCATTTTACTGTGCCATTGTATACAATGGAACTTTAGCGTCCACGAATTTTGGTATCCACGGGGAGTCCTGGAACCAATCCTTAGTGGATACCAAGGACCCACTGTACAGTTTCACAATTACTCACCTGCTCTAGATATATTTCATATGACATCATTGAACAATATGAATTAGTTTTTGATTTTGTCTTGCTCTCTACCTTTGCTTTCATTTTCTTCATGTTAGGGTCAGTGTCTAAGCAAAACAGAATGTCACTTAAATTTTACTCATTTATTTTAAGTGTTGATGACACCTTGATTGAAAGTCATCTATAGGCCTAAGCAGACTGCCAGAAATAGTGCACATTAAATTGAGGCACTGCCCTGGCTCAGTGCTAGGGAATCATGGGAACTGTATTTTTTTCTGAGGCATTGAGCCTTCTCTGTCAGAGAGCTCTGGTGCCACAATAAATTACAGTTCCCATGATTCCCTAGCACTGAGCCAGGGCAGTGCCTCAATTTAATGTGCACTATTTCTGGCAGTCTGCTTAGGCCCTAAATTAATTGCTTGTTTTTTAATCAAAAATCCCTTTTGTATTTGGAAGTAACTATTTTACTGTTTCTTTCTGAAGATCTCTCTACCATCAGGACAAGTGTAACATTTAAATTTAATGAAGGGAAATGTAACTTAAAAAAGAATAAGATGTTTCAAGATGCTGTTCAGCACATAATACCAGGTATGAATACATATATGTAATCAAAACAGGTTAATACTCTAGATCACAAAGTCCCTCAATGGTATGATGTGCAGCTTTTAAATCAGGGGTAGGCAACCTTTTCCCTTTAAGGGCCGAGGGACTTCAGCTCCCAGAATCCCAGGAGCTATTGGCCAACATGGGACTATTGGCCAACATGGCTGAGGCTTCTGGGAGCTGAAGTCCCTAACCCTAACCCTTATATTCTTCTCTCTGTATAGCCATAGGCCAGTTCCATGTCTCTTACTTCTATTTTCAGAATCAAACCCACCAGAATCTATTTTATTTATTTATTTATTTATTTACTTACTTACTTACTTTGTTTATATGTCATCTTTCTTCCAGAGTGGGACCCAAGGTGGCTTCAAAAAAAATTGCTCACAATAAATAATTTAAAACAATTAAAATCCCTACATTAAACATTATAAAATCATTTAAAAGCCATACAAAAATTAAAACACACATCCAAATTAAAAAAAAAAAACACAACTTCCCTGTGTAATCTTTAAAAGCCTGCTTAAACAAAAATGTCTGCTTGCTGGCAAAAGGAAATAGGGAGCGGGGCCATCCTGACACATAGAGAACTGAACTTTTGAGCATGTAGATCAGCCCTAGCTGGCCCTGTTTCCTCCAGATATGTTGGTCTTCAGTTCCTATAATCCCCATATGGCATACCCAGTGGCCAAATTGGCTAGAAATAATAGGAGATGAAATCACACAGATGTGGAGAGCACCAAGCTGGGGAAGACCTGCTTTGTCATAGCAAAGTCAAATTGTTAAAAAGAAATAGGCCTGGAACTAATTTGAAATAGTCTAATTTTAGCAGTGCTAAGCCCCCACCCAGCACTGAATTTTGTCTTGTACATGCTTGGCAGTGGTCCTTCCTTGGAGCCTCTGTGAAGCTATAATTGAAACTATGCCCACATACAAGATTGTGCCAGGGCAATTGCTTGTAGTTTGTTAGCATCTGGACTTAATCATACAGCCCTGAAAGCATTTTCTCAGAAACATTTATCAGGCTTCAGCAAATGCCCAACAACATAGATGGCCAAGTTCTTGTTTCTTTTTATTTTGTTCACACAGAGAAACATACTTCAATATTAGAGAACTTCTGCTATGTAAACCTGACATGCAGTTCTGGCAAGAAAACTCTTGGAGATCATGGCAGATCGAAGGCAGCTAGAGAAATGTTTATATCTGCAGACTTTGAGCTTGAAACAAACCAAAAGGAGGTGACAGGTTGGTTGGAAAAGAACACACAATATGAATGAAGAGTTTTGTTTCTGAGAGAGCTTGTTGCAGTTTGATAGTTAACTCCTCTGTCTTTCACTTACATCTTCATGCAGAACAAACAAAAAAAGTATCTCCTGTTTTGAAACTTTCATATCCCTTTCTCCAAAAGTCAGAAAATTTCTGGGGCTAAATATTTGCAGTTCTATGTTTAATAGCTTGTTGGGGTCCTTAAAAACTAACTCAGAATAACATTTAGTGTCATAGTTAATGTAGCATGCATTCTCAATTACTGCACTGACTATTCTTTTGGAGCCAATGGTATTATATACTATGCTTTCTGCTCCTGATCATCACCACCTATACCTTTCTAGACACATGCAATCTGAGCTGTGCACGTAAAAGGACTGAGAAGAGGCTGCGTAAAGCAATCAGAACCTTGCGGAAGGTAATCAACAAAGAGCAATTCCATATTCGCCTTTCCGGTGTGGATCACGATCTGGCCAGAAAGTCTCCCAGGGTACTTGATACACAGGAACCCTGTGGCCTTGGTCAAAGGCACATAGATAACAGATGTGGTAGGTACAATTGCTATCTGATTCATTGATGTGATGCATTTGTAACCTGCGTACAGAAAATCAATAGCACTTATCACTAAGCTATTTTCAGGAAGAACAAATTGCCCCACTTATGTGGGTAAAGATTACAAAACTGATGTCAAAACTGTTGTTTTTGAGCTTATGTTGTGTTCTCATTATCAACCCTTCCATTGTTTCAAATGTGCTCTATCCATAATCATATTTCCTTGCTTATACCATCATCTCTTTGTTCCATAGCACTTAGTGTACAAAGTATTTTATCCCATTTATCTCTAGATAATGGGGCAAATGTAAAGAATGCTTATTCAGAACCAGATGAAATATGATCCAGAAAGAAGAGAAATTAACAATATTGTGATGTTTAACATATACTTTGAATCAAGTTCTGTAAAGAAAACTAGCAGTATTACAGTAACTGAACAATGTCTATACATTTTTTAGGAGTCTCCATCTTGCTGCAGATTAATCCAATAGATCCAAAAACAAATTCTGATTCTTCTGTTCGGAATCATGCTCTCCATGCATTTGACATGTGTACACTCTGATTTAGCTCAGATTGCATGCTAAACCATTGACCAGCATGGCAAGGTAGAGCTGCAGTGTGGCAGCCATGAAGAGAAGTTTGGAAGCTTTTGCTTCTTTTTTTTTTTTTTTGGTCTTAATATATCTTGCCTTGTCATCTGAACTTACAAACAAGGGTTAATATTAAATGTGGCTTGTTTGAAACAATCCAGTTTATGTGTTTTTGACAAAACTCCATCAAATGATAAAGATTGGCACTTGATTATGGACAGTCGCACAGTGATTGTCCATAATAACACAGTGATAAACACTTATTGGTGCTTATCCATTCTGTCTTCATAGACGTGCTTGCCTTTCACGCTTTGCCCAGTGGTGGTGCCCTCCAGATGTTTTTAGACTACAACTCCCACCAGCCTCCATCACCATAGCTAAAGATGATGATGATGATGATTCTATTTATTTATATCCAACCTTCCTCCCAATATAGGGACTCAAGGTGGCTTGAGATGTGTGATTGTGGTTCTTGTAGTCTAAAACGTCTGAGAAGGCACTGTGTTGGGGACGTCTTGATAGCCTTCACTGTGGAAAGCTTATCTGCCATACAGATATGAGGCTAAGACATTCCCAGATTTTAAATTTGTATGCTGTTGTTTTAGATTTTATCTTTAGAAAAAAAAATTGGAACACTGTAAGGATAGTGTTTTGTGGGTTTTTCGGGCTGTTTGGCCATGTTCTAGAAGAGTTTCTTTCTCTTTTCGCCAGCATCTGTGGCTGGCATCTTCAGAGAATGCTGGAATGGAAAAGATAATTTGATAACTGTAAGGATAATTTGATATCATTTGCTGTTTTAATCTGTGTAAACTACGGGTTTTATAGATTTTTAAAAATATAGGTATATGATCGTTTACAAATTTGGGTTTGAATAAATACAATTTCCCTCTACTATAATTGTATTATAGAGAGTATGAAGTGAGCTGTCAACAAGCAGAAGCACATCAACTTGCTCTGTGAGCCTAATCTTATTTTTTTTAAAAGACAAAAAAAGTAAATACAGAGAGCTCTTTGTCTTCAGTGTTTGTTCCTACTGGTTCTTTTTCAGCTGATTCCCAACATTTTGAAGCTTTCTTTCCTTTCTGATGGAAGATCTTGAAAGAGGTGCCAGGAGGAAAATAAATTTTGCAAACCAAAGACAAAAAACTGTCTGTTCTGCCAACCTGTTGCTTCTAGGATAATAGACTTAAGTCCTAAGTCCTAATGTGTATAAATTCCCCATATGAGTGCAGCCTGTGAACCAGTAAAAAACAAAACCGAAAAACAATATAGAGGGGCTCCTTAGGAATAAGTTTCTATCTGGGGTTTGTGTGTGTCTGTTTCTGATGCAGCCAGGGCATAGCTCTTAAGGGAATAGTTAGTTGTGGATCACAACCTCTTTTATGGGGTTCACCTTCTGAAGTCACTGAAACACTATAGTATTTGTCCATCGCATCAAAAACGCAAAGGCTAAACATGTTGAATAGAAGGAAAGAGCCTTTAAATGTCTTTATAACTCTTAATCCTGGTTCCCTGTGGGTGCCTCTCTCCCCCTACTTTTCTTTTGCATCAGAAAAGCTTTCACTCCTTGACCCAAACAGTTGTCAAGAGAAGGATTTTAATGGTCATTGAAGACAGACAATGAAGGTACTTATAGGAATGAAGTCTGTTGAAGGCAATTGGTTCTTGACTTCACTTGAAGGAAAACAAACAGGTTGCAGGAAATTTTAAAAAGCAAGTAAAGAAAGCTCAAGGGATAATTGATGTCGTGTTGCAGTTTCCAAGTCTTTGGACTTTATTTTGAAAACTTGTACTCTGTAACACATGTTTGTGGTTTACGCTGCCAGACTAGTAAATTTATTAGTATCATTTTAGATAAATATCTGTGGTGAAAAATTTGAAGCCCTGACTCTTTTATTTAGAGTTTCCTGCACACAGAAGGTCAGTTTTGCTTCCCTTGCTTTCATGAAATGATACAGTGAAACCCCCCCCCTTTATTTTTCTCTTGCACTGTGATCTGAAGAGTGCCTACAGGACAAAGTTACACAGGTAAAAACATTGTTTTTAATTGTTTCTGAATAGAAAAGGAGTATTTTGGCCAATCTAGGGAGCCAGCATGGTGTAGTGGTTTGAGTGTTGGACTACAACTCTGGAGAACAAGGTTCAAATCCCTGTATTGCCATGAAAACCCACCAAGTGACCTTGGGCAAGTCACCATAAGTCTGAAATGACTTGAAAGCACACAACAACAACAACAACAACAACAACAACAACAATGACAACAACTGGCTAGTCTAGGGGCTGTATATCAGGAACTCTGTAACAGGATGCAGAAGGAGAAGAGTATTCTTTGCAGCCTTGGAGGCAGGTATAGAGACTATCTGAACAGGATTCAATCCTTTGGTGGAATGTGCACCATTATTTCACATATAATGATCTGGAATGTATCATGTTTAATTTGATGAGTGGTGAAGAATGCTACTTTAAATAAGATCATAAGAGTTTAGGGTCCATTTGCTGATAGGGTAAAGCTCTTTTCCAGTTTAGCCATACTTATCAGGGTGGCTTTTAAGTTACTGCTTTTCTGTTGCCTCTGCATAAACTGTAAAGTGTGCAAGAGCACTGGACAGTAGTGTGGATGCCTTAAAAAAAAGATTGGGCAATCTATTAAAAAGAACTTTAGCTACTGATGGGACTCATGGGAGAGTTGCAGGCTAATCCTATACATTGCTGGGGGAGGGGGGAATAAGTCCCAGTTATGGTCTGTCAGGGGCCAGACACACTTAGGGTTTTTTCATGGAGAGATTCACATCTGTGAATTGATTCAAAATGGATTCGCCATTCCCACTACGTTTTAAGGCAGCGAATCTCTTTGTGGCATTTAAATCTTGTTTGAAATTCCCATTTGCCACTGTTCCGGATCAAAATGGAGGCGCCTCCATTTCCTGAACGTTGGCTGCATGATCTAAATCGATGTGATAGCTTACTCATACTATCAGAGAAGCAGATCATTGCGGTTCTTAAAAAAAGAATCGCTAAGGTATCTGGTGCCAAATGCGCTGGTTTAAATGGGCTTTTTGGTTAACACCCCACAGACTGCACCGAGTACAATCGGTGCAAGTCTGAACGACAGGGAAATATTTTTATAGTGTGAATGGGGCGTCAGTGTTTTTCCTACATTCCCCTTCCCTCCCACACTTCACATTACTAATTTTCAGAATTTTCACAATAGAGTATTGCATTTTTGGTAGTTAGACAATGCTTTCAGCCACTGTATAGTTAAAATTGATGACAATTTTCTGTTACCTTTCCTATCTGAAAAATGCTGTGCTTTCTTTGGTGGGGAGCTTTCGTTTTACCACTATTGTTCACTGAAGCTGCAAGTCTGCCTCTCAGACATTCCACCTTCTAAAACTCTGAAGTCTCAACATACCAGTATTTTTTGCAGAGCTATAGAAAGTAGTAGTTATGCAGTAAAATTATGGTTTTCTATTCCCTCCCAAAAATCTTTTTTAAAAATTATATTTATTGAAATAATAACATAATTACATAAAGAATTCAGTTTAAAAATTGAGCAACATCAAAATAAAAATAGAATAACCACCCTATTCCACTCTCCCACATACATAGATGACATAAAATATACTAACACAAAGAGATTAATTCCCACCCTGCAATTTCAAAATAATTTAGCAAATATATTAAACTTCTCTGTTCTGCTTAAACATTATTTATGTTTTCTGACTAAAACTTGCAAAAAGAAGGACATTTAGTCTTCAAAACCTGTGTTTCATTTCAGCTCTTCCATAATATTAATGATGTGCTGTATAAGGATAGGGTGGCTACAAAGACTATGTGTAATGCTAACTCGAGATGTAAGCTAACATAGAAGAAAGGTTCACCAACATGTCCATGTTTTAGTTTGCATTTAACCAAAAGTCCCCCTTCCCTTGGAAAATTTTGTGTCCTTGATTAACTACCATGCATTTAGTTAACAGAAATATAAAGTCAGGGAATTGCACCTATAAATCCTCTTTATGCTGCAGTCCATTGGTTGTGCTAGCCAAGTATTGTTTGAGTATTATCTGAGTTGGAGCAATTCTCTAGGTCTCAAGCAGAGGTTTGTCCCAAGAATTTCAACTTTAAATAATAGTGGCCAAATATAAGATATACTAGCTGCAAAGCATATTGTCAGGATGAGCAGACTAAAGCTTAAAGAACCAAGACATCATAGCAGTGAGATTTACTGACTATTTATTT